CTTGAGTTTCCTCCATAGAGAAGACTTTCAGAAAATAAACCCTACACAATTATGAAAATGGTAACAGGATCATGTATTTCGATGATTACCTTTAAGTGTAAATGAATTACATGCACCAAGTGAAAAGTGAAATTACCTTAAAAGTAAGTGAATTAAATGCACCAAGTGAAAAGTGAAAGTCGCTTAGTCGTGTCCGACTCTTTGCGACCCCATGGACTATCCATGGAGTTCTCTTTTTTTTCGTTTGGCTATGGACTGTGGAAACTGACAAACATCTTTCACTATTGCAATTACATAACTATTACTCACTGAATACCACTGTCTCATCATCGGTCAACAGGAAAATAATATGATTCTGTATTGTCAAAACTGTATCACAAAAAATCACTTAATAGAAACACCTGTAATCACTTTTTAAAATCCATATGGCTGTCAGAATTAAATTGGAATTTTTTAAAGAAATACAAATGCCAAGGTACTGCTTGCTTTTCTCCAAAGCCACAGATATGTTTCTGGTGAGCTGCCACATTTGAAAACAACTGGACTACATGATGATCTTATACTTTTACCCAGTTTGTTTCAATTTTTCTGTTTCACATTCAGTGCTATTTCATTTATGTTTTCCAACCTCTCCATCTCTCTCTCTCTCTCTTTTTCTGATGTTCTTTCTCAAGTCTTTATCAAGCATAGTAAAAAAGCTTTGGTATACACATACAACAGATATTCTAGAAAACTTGGGAATTTGGGCCTAACTAAAAAATTTGACATTTCGATTCCACTCGTTTGACTTAGTATTAATAGAGTGCTAGATTTCTAATTTTTTTTTAAAAAATACACATGCAACAGGCAATAAAGGCTTACTGTATAGCACAGGGAACTGTAGTCAATATGTTATAGTAACCTGCAGTGGAAAATAATCTCAAAATATATGTGTATATATGTGTAAGTGAATCACCTCGCCATGCAGGTGAAACACTGTAAGTCAACTATACCTCAATAAAACAGATGTACAAAGAGAAAGAAATTCTACCGCCATAAAGCCTCTCCCTGGGATTTTCACAACCCAGGAACGCTGACTTTTATGACGGAACGGAAGCCTGCACAGGTGAGCACCTGGGTAAGAAATCACCCAAACAGACGCCACCATACAACTAGTGTATCTCCCATCTGTTCTCCTAAGAGCCCATTTATGTTCCTGAAAGATATCTGGTTCTCCCACAAGTGCCCCTTTTTTTCTCCCCAAGCCCTATTAAGATGGTATATAAACCCCAGGTTCTAAATGTCTCCTTGAATCGTATTTCCTGTGCGGTGCCTTGTTCTTATGCAGAGAGAAACCTGCGTTTTCTCTGGCTGATGCCTTCTGTCCGTTTAGCTGACACGCCGCAGACGCAGAACCTAAGAGCATGCAGGAAAAGGTCCCAGAAGATGCCACCAAGACTTGGTATGACTGCTCACGGAAGAATGATACAGGGCAGGCTGGGAGAAAACAGTTTCAGTGAAAACAAGGAACGCCAGCGCCGTGAGGCTTTTCCTCCGAGTGAGGCTGTAACCAGAGTTTGCCGTTAAATCCCCCTTTTACAGTGCCTTTGCTTTACTGCTTCCTTATTAGTACTCTGCGCCGAGTTCATTCGCTGCTGCGCACAACATCGTAAATTCGCGCTGGCGCCCTGACTCTCTGCGGGGACGTAATAGTCGCGCGAAACGCCCTTGAACTCCGAGGCTCGCCACCCCCGCGTGCTGGCGCCTGCACTGCGTCAGAGACAGAGCTGCAAGATGCGACCTAAGAGCTCTGTCGTGTCTCCACGGGCCTCTCTGCACCCGCTTCCAGGATTCAGGTGCTAAGCCACTCGGTCGTGTCTAACTCTCCGACCCCAAGGGCTGTAGCCCGCCAGGCTCCTCTGTCCATGGGCTTTCCCAGGCAAGAATACTGGAGTGGGTGGCCATGCCCTCCTCCAGGGCATCTTCCTGAGCCAGGGATGAAACCTGCATCTCTGAGGTCTCCTGCGTTGACGGGCGGATTCCTTAGCACTCAGCCACCTGGGAAGCCCCTGCACTCGGGAGACAAAGTCAAGTACGGAATGACCGAGCCGCAGGGCGGGGCACACCCAGGAGCCTGTCAACACGGGCCTTCCTACCACAAGAGGCGCGTCCCCAGGGGAAAACCGAGACGCATCAGCTGTTATTTGCGTAGGAAATGGGGCAAGAGAGGTTTCCCTCTGCAGGACAAACAGCTGCGTGAACAGACGTGGGTGGGGAACTGGGGTAACTGGCGGAGGAACACCGGAAGAGCTGGATTATGCCCAGGCCAGGCGCTCGCTCATCTTCCTCGGACGCATCTGAAGGGAGCGCCGTCAGGGCGGGCAAGAGGAACACTGGAGCTCCGGCCCGGCGCCTCACCAAGGGAGACTCCTGTCCTGCAGGCTGAAGCCCCAACCCCTGCCCCGCGCCCCCCTCCCCGTCCACACTTTCACTGCAACCGTCGTCACGCAAAGCCAGCGACGTGGTCTCCTTGTAAACGCTGCTTGCGCACACACTCGCAAACCTGGAGACACCGTGTTTCCGTGAACAGGGTACCCAGCGAAGGAAGGGCTGCCTGGAGGCGGAGGCAGGCAGGCAGCGGCCTCCTCTCTGAACTCCCGCGGCCACACGATTCAGGAGGTGACGGGCCAGCATGTTGTCCTCCTCTCAGCTGCCAGGAAGGACTGGAAGACAGTGCTCCTGCTGGGAGCCGCCCCGAGAGGGACCAGTCTGCCCAGGGAGGGGCGCCTCGCTGCGCCAGGCTGATCAACAGCAACCTGCAGCGCGTACAGGAGGCGGCCCTTCTAAAGCCGCTTTATCACCTGAAGGCGTCGAAGTTAAGTGTGGGGGGTGGTACAGTTCTTAGGGAAAAGAACCCATCTGTGTGGGACCTGTAGCGGGACGCCAAGCCTGCGGACACGCACACGTCCTGACGGAAGCAGCAGAGCCACACAGCCCCCAGCCCCTGCCCCGCCAGCCCTGCGGCTTCAGCTCCGACTCTGAGGCTTAGCGGCTGGGCCGCGTCCACTACTGAGCTGAACTCCCTGTGTATGTGAATCACTGTCCGTCAGTGACAGTGATGCCTTCGGCTGCAATGTAATTTAAAAAAATAAATTTGGTCTTTGCCCCTGGTATCCGCCAGTCTTCTCTGTCCATGGGATTCTCCAGGCCAGAATACTCAAGTGGGCAGTGGGTAGCCATCCCCTTCTCTAGGGGAATCTTCCCGACACAGGGATGGAACCCGGGTTTCCTGCACTGCAGGCAGCTTCTTTACGTCTGAGCCGCCAGGGAAGCCCTACCTTAGCTTTCCCACACAGAGCTCCTGAAACCCTTGACACGTCCTGGGCAGTGAGCTCATTTTCTGCGTCATTCATAGTAAATCCCCTTTCAAGCATGCCTGAGTATCCCGGGGCCTAGATGGATTCACGATGTTGGGGGGTGGCGTGGGGGGCTGTTGATGGGCTCCTGGTTGTGTCCCACCCCAAGCCCTGATTGGAGGGTGCTACTTATAGCTCACCCCCTCATCTCCAGGGCCAGCGAAAGATGCATTGATTTACCAAGGGCCAGTGAATTCACCGAGGCAGTGGAGCCTCCACAAAGACCCCTGGAAAACAAGGAGGCCCTTGGGGCTGGAGACAGGCGGGTGCTGGAGGCTGGTGCATCCCAGTGGGCTGAGTGCTCCAGCAGCCCAGCCACCCACCCCTACCCCACACAGCTCTTTCCCTGCAGTGCTCCTGGGCTGTATTTATAAATATGTATTTGGCTGCACTGCCTCTTAGCTGTGCCAGGCAGAAGCTTCGCTCTCTGGCTATGGCATGCAGAGTCCTAATGACGGCGATGTGGGACCCAGTTCCCTGATCAGGGATCGAACCCAGGCCCCCTGTCTTGGGAGCCCCGAGTCTTAGCCACTGGGCTGCCAGGGGAGTTTCGATGAGTTGCATTCTTAAGGTAAACCAGTAAAGGCAAGCACAGCATCTTCCTGAGTTCTGGGTCATTCTAGTGAATTACAACTGCCGAGGTTGGGGGCTCTGTGGGATCCCCAAGCTTGTGGTCGGCTGGGGAGAAGTGCGAGTGGCCGGGATGCCTCCGTTCGTGACTGGCATGTGAAATGGGGTATGTCCGGGGCGGGGGGGTGGCTGGGCTGAGCCCAGAACCCAGGGTCTGCACTCACCCCAGGGAGCTCGTGTCATAGGTATACTCACTGAATCATGGGAGACCCAGTGGGGGTCTCAGATCAGGCATAGGCACGGGGGTGGGGGTGGGGCGGGGGGCAGCGGTTCTGTTTTGATTGCCCTTACAGGCTGGACGCAGCAAGTCAGGTCCTGAACCCCAAAAGCAGGTCGTTCAGGAACACTCCCCCATCTCAGCTGCCTTTGGAGGCCGGTTTTGGAGTAACAGTCCTGAGGCTGTGCTTTCTGTGGCACCAGGCTGGGTCCCATCACCGGCTCACTGGTTAGTGAGAGGCCACAACAGTGAGAAGACATTCCAGGGAAACGCTCTTCCCTGCACTGGTCCCTCACAAGGCACCCGACCCGGGATCCAGGAACCAGCTGGGAACGCCATCACCCCCACTGGATACACGCCCTGCCTGGCGGGGACACCCCGGGGTCACTAGGCGCAACGTCTCTGGAGAAGCCCCCGGATGCTCCGGAATCTGCACCTGCGGACGGCCGAGGCTCCGCCCCACACCTCGGCAGCCCGGATGCGCCACGAGGCGCCACCGCTCGCCGACAGTCTCCCCCAGGCTCAGACACCTCCTCCCCTCCCCACAGGGGACCCTGCCTGATGCAGGGTGGAGCTCCCCCTGCGGCCCCTTCCAGCGGGAGAAACACACAGAAGCCTGGCGACCGCTCAGGGAAAACCAAGGGCCCTCGCTCGGCGGTGACGAAGTATCTCGGAGAAGGGCGCAGGCAGAGGGGGCGGCGAGGGCGGCTGACTGACGTCAGAATCGCCGAACCGCGCTGCGTGTGCGCGTCCGCGCGTCACAAACCAGGACGCTGGAGACCCGCGTCACTGAAGGCCCCTCCGCGCACGAGGCCCCTCGGCCGCGCCCGGTCAGGTCCAGGCGCTCTGGGGCCCACCCGGGCGCCCCGCGCGGTTCTGTCTGGTGGGTGTCTCGGGGCAGCCGTGCTCCCACACACGAAGTGAAGGGCCGTCCCTGGGCACGGCGCTCCCGCCGCCTCAGTGCCCTCACTTCCAGTCTCAAGAGCCGCGCAGCAGCCGTCCGCGTGGACACCGAGAGCCCCCGACCCGCACCGGGTGTCTCCCCCGTTCCCAGCCGCGCCGCGTACCTTGTCGGGGGGAGGAGCCGGAGAAAAGCGGCGCGCGCAGGCCAGGAAGATGTCTGGGTCCGGCTTCCCGCGCCGCACCTCCGCGTCATCGCCCAGCACCACGTGGTGGAAGAGGCCGAAGAAGTCCTGGTGGCGGCTGGTCTTCAGCTGGAAGGACGCCGTCCCCGAGCTGGTGGCCACGGCACACGGCACATCGTGCTTCCGCAGGTGGCGGATCAGCTTCTCCACGCCTGGGGCGGGGGGTGCTCCACTCAACACCAACGTGGGAAAGCAGTTCAGGGCTCGGGGATGGCCCTTCCCAGAGGACCAGAGGCGCCTGTGCTGAGACGGCGGTGCTCTGCTCGCCAGTCCTGACAGAGCGAGGGCCTCCCTGACGGCTCAGCGGGTAAAGGATCCACCTGAACACTATCTACATACAATAGCTAGGACGCGGAAGGGGCCTAGATGTCCATGCACAGATGAATGGATAAAGAAGCCGTGGTACATGCACACAGTGAAATATTACTCAGCCATGAAAAGGAACACATTTTACTCAGTTCTGATGAGGTGGACGAACCTGGAGTCTATTATACAGAGTGAAGTAAGTCAGAAAGAGAAAAAATTATCGTATATTAACACACACATGTGGGACTCTAGAAAGATGGTACTGATGAAGCTATTTGCAGGGCAGCAATGCAGACGCAGACACAGAGAAGAGGCTTGTGGACACAGTGGGAGAAGGGGAGGGTGGAGGAATAGACAGAGTAGCATGCAAACACAAACATGACCGTATGTAAAACAGACAGCCGGGGGGAATTCGCTGGATGCCTCACAGAACTCAACCCGGGGCTCTGTGACACCTTCAGGTGAGGGATGGGGTGAGGGGTGGGAGGGGAGTTCAGGAGGGAGGGGACACATGTACACCGTGACTGATTCAGTCACTGATTCACCGTGACTGATTCATGTTGATGTAAGGCAGGAATAAGAATATTATTGTGAAGGAGTTATCCTTCAATTCAAAATAATAAATTTAAAAAAATAATAAGAATCCACCTGCAATGCAGGCGACACAGGAGATGCTGGTTTGATCCCTGGGTTGGGAAGATCCCCTGGAGGAGGAGAATAGCAACCCACTGAGGTACTCTTGCCCGGGAAATTCCATGGACAGAGAAATCGCCTGCTGGGCCCCAATCCACGAGGTCTCAAAGCGTGCTACACAACTGAGCAACTAAAGCTCTGCTACAATCAGAGCAAAGCCAGGGAGCTGCCAATAAATCTGACAACTCAAATGGACAAGGAGGAAATGGACAAGTTCTTTCAAAGACAAAGAAGTTCTCTGGGAGAGTTCTTTGACACCTCACTCAGGAACACAGCGACAACGTAACTAGCCCTAGATGCATGGGAAAGAGACTGAATCTGTAGCTGAGAACTGTCCCAGACCTAGCACCGCACGCCCTCACTGGCAAACTTACCAAACATCCCAGGATGAAACAATGCCGATTCTAAGGAAACCTCAGAAAATCACAGGGAACACTTACTTTCCAACTTGTTTTTTTTTTTTGAGACCAGCACTTTTCTGATACCGAAGCTGAAGAAAGGCATACAAAAAATTACAGACCCATATGTCTTGTGAACACACACACCTAATGTCACACTGAAGCCAATTCACAACCACTATGAAAGAATTCTTCTTGAAGAGTCGCTATAGGGTTAAAACCTGTTATTCAAAAATATTAAAAAGCCACACTATTTAATTAGCTTGCAACAACTAACGACCAATATGTAGAATTACATTAGCTAAATTTTCATAAGAAACCTTCATGAAACTGGTGAATTAAAAGGATGAAAGAATGCCTATAACAAATATACATCCAATAATCATCTTGACCTGGATGTGGTGATTAAAGCTAAATATCAACATGATTTGCATGTAAAACAAAAGGTTCAACTTGTACGACCCAATAGGAAACCAACACACTAAAAAATATTGGAGCATATTTAAATATACGCTTTCCTCGAAAACCTACTCGAAAAAGAACATTTTGCTGGAAGAGTTCTCTGATGCTATTGATTATAAAAATTGAAATATAGTTGATGTCATTTTAGCTCATCCTTCAAATACTTCTAGTTCTGTGAATACTTTGTAATGCACTAACATAACGGTGCAATACTATACCAATATAAATATATACAGGGAAGCCTATATTGGAATATAGAGTCAACATTGTTATCCACAGGGGAATGAATGAAAACGTTTTTGGATGACTGTTAAAACTTTTTTTTTTTTAAGATTTATTGCTTTTATTGATGCATTTGTTTTTGGCTGCATCAGGTCTTAGTCACGGCACGCAGGATCTCTGTTGCAGTGTGCAGACTTCCTCCATAGCTGCATGGCCCTGGTTGAGCTGGCCCAGGGCACATGGGAACTTACTTCCCAGACCAGGGAGCAAACTCGTGGCTCCTGTGCTGGAAGGAGGATTCCTAACCACTGGAACCCCAGGGGAGTCCGGGAATGACTCTTTTAAAATCAGACGAGCTCCATGAAGATGTCTGAGATGGACACACACATGAGCCCGGAGACAGGGAGGCTGACCACAGCCCGTGCCAAGTCGACCCCGTCTCTGGGGCTCGGTTCTGTCCTGTCATATAGCAACGATTAGGGTTCCTGGTGGTGATGCTGTGAAGGAACGCCTGTAAAAGGTCCCACCCGTAAAAGCTCACACGGCAAGGTGAGGCCCCACGAGACAGTAGCGGCCCTGGTCGCCACTGATCCATCAAATTTAGGTTACAGTCACTCATCAGTCACTCAAATCTCCTGACATTAACACACTACTGCCCGATTCCTTCAAAAACTTTTGTGTCCTTTAAATACCGTACGCTGACTTTTTCTCAGTCTCTCTGCGACGTAGAAGACTAGAAACATGACAGGACTTCTGTCCTGCACAGAAGCTCATTAATTGGGTACATAAATGACACCCAGCCAGCAGACAGCTGGTAGCCTCGAGATGCTCAAGTGGGTTTCACGGCTGGGCACAGATAGATCGCTCTTGCTACAAAGAATGAGCACTCCCAGGAGTGATCTACAGGGAAGGGGAGAAGAAACGTTGAGGATCAGGGATGCTGAGAGGTGTTTCTGTCCGACTTCATCCGAGAGGCCTCAGGCTGGTGAGGAGAGACACGGAGGCTGCCCAGGAAAGTGGTTCTGAACACGGAAGCATGCAGAGGAGGTCGACAGGGGACACGGGTTCTCTCAGCTGCTGCCCCAGAACTCAGGTGCTGGGTGGCTGTATCCAGCAGCCCCCTGGCTAGCCCAGGAGTCCTTTGCGACACATCACCTGAACCGGGAGACGCGTTGTGGCTGGGAGCAGAGAGGACGTGGCGGGAGGAGATACCACCCAGGGATGGGCTCGGCACGCATCCCGGGACCCGCAGAGCAGCCGCGGAGTCCAGAGTCCTGCGGGGAGGCGGCAGGGCGAGCGTTCGGTGGACGGAGCCACGGCGGGGGGGAGGGGGGAGGGCAGACACCACGCCGTCCTGGCACGAGCTTCACCGGCCCGGACCTCCAACCCGAGCATTGCTGGACACGAGGCTCAGTCCCTCCTCCTCGCAGCCCGCATGTGGAAGGGAGACCACTTCTCCTGGACGGTGGCCTTGCCACTGCCTGGGAGGTGACTGGCTGTCATGTGGAGGCACAGGTCACAGGGGACGCCTGCAGGCCAGTGGGTCCAGTGGCGGGCCCCGAAAGGGAGGTGAGGCCCTCACCCCTGGGGCTTCTGACTGTGAACTGACCCGGGACAATGAGGGTCTGTGCAGAGGTGAGGTCCTCACCCCTGGGGCTTCTCAACTGAGCTGACCTGGGACAATGAGGGTCTGTGTGGAGGTGAGGTCCTCGCCCCTGATTCTTCTGAACGTGAACTGATCTGAGACAACGAGAGTCTGTGCAGAGGTGAGGTCCTCACCCCTGATGCTTCTGACTGTGAACTGACCTGGGACGTGGCTCTGAGCAGAGGTGAGGTCCTCACCCCTGATGTTTCTGAATGTGATCTGACCTGGGACAATGAGGGTCTGTGAAGAGGTGAGGTCCTCACCCCTGGGGCTTCTCAATTGAGCTGACCTGGGACAATGAGGGTCTGTGTGGAGGTGAGGTCCTCACCCCTGATTCTTCTGAACGTGAACTGATCTGGGACAACAAGAGTCTGTGCAGAGGTGAGTTCCTCACCCCTGATGCTTCTGACTGTGAACTGACCTGGGACGTGGCTCTGAGCAGAGGTGAGGTCCTCACCCCTGGGGCTTCTGACCGTGAACTGACCTGGGACATAGGTGTGAGCAGAGGTGAGGTCCTCACCCCTAGGGTTTGTGACCGTGAACTGACCTGGGACAATGAGGCTCTGTGTAGAGGTGAGGTCCTCACCCCTGGGGCTTCTGACCATGAACTGACCTGGGACATAGGTCTGAGCAGAGGTGAGGTCCTCACTCCTGGAGTTTGTGACCATGAACTGACCTGGGATAATGAGGGTCTGTACAGAGGTGAGGTCCTCACCCCTGATGCTTCTGAATGTGAACTGACCTGGGACATGGGTCTGAGCAGAGGTGAGGTCCTCACCCCTGGGGTTTGTGACCGTGAACTGATCTGGGACATGGGTCTGTGCAGAGGTGAGGTCCTCACCCCTGGGGTTTGTGACTGTGAACTGACCTGGGACATGGGTCTGAGCAGAGGTGAGGTCCTCACCCCTGGGGTTTGTGACCGTGAACTGACCTGGGACATGGGTCTGAGCAGAGGTGAAGTCCTCACCCCTGGGGTTTGTGACCGTGAACTGACCTGGGACATGGGTCTGAGCAGAGGTGAGGTCCTCACCCCTGGGGTTTCTGACCGTGAACTGACCTGGGACATGAGTCTGTGCAGACATGAGGTCCTCACCTCTGAGGTTTCTGAACGTGAACTGACCTGGGACAGTGAGGGTTTGTGCAGAGGTGAGGTCCACACCCCTGGCGCTTCTGAACTGAGCTGACCTGGGACAGTGAGGGTCTGTGCAGAGGTGATGAAGGACCTTCAGAATGAGATCAGCACGGATTTAGGGTCAGCCCTAAACCCAGTGGGACTTCCCAGTTGGCTTGGCGGTTAAGAATCTGCCTGCCAATGCGGGAGACACAGGAGATTCAGGTTGGATCCGTGGGTCAGGAAGATTCCCCTGCAGAAGACAATGCCAAGCCACTGCAGCATTCTTGCCTGGAGAAGCCCATGGACAGAGGA